CAGTTTTCAGACAATTCCCTGCTCAAAAGTTCTTGTCTCTTGCACTGATTTCTTCTTTTAACATTGTGAAGCTCTACTTAGTACCTTCTTAAGATCCAATAGTGCAAAATGCAAATTCTTGCACTTTTTTGACTGGTCTTAAGATTTTGATCAGGAGTGTAGTCGACACAATCCATGCATCGGGGATGAGAGCAGCCCATTGATTAAGCTGAACCAGGGTAAAGTGTCCCACCGCCCGATCCCTGGTGTCTTTTACGAGCCCTCAACCTTTATGAGGGCGGGAGGGCTGCCGAGTAGATGGCCTACGTTGAGGGGGAACAGGGGTCCAGGCCCCTGGCAGGCCCCATTGGCCACGAGCAGGCCCAACCGGAGGCCATGGCTGCCCTAATGAAGATGTAGGTGAGGGGGCACGAGCACGTGAGAATGCAGTGCTCACTCCAGCAGGGTGTTGTAAGTTTCTCCTGCAGAGGCCAGCCAATTGCTGCCTGGTACGGGTAGCCTGAGCAGAGCGCTCTAATGCTGAGAGAGCAGCTGAGCCAAACAACTCCCCAGGGACCACAGGAAGACACATCAGTGTCCTTCTACAGGTCTCAGTCAAGGGTGACTGCGCTAGCCAAACCTGACGGCATGCCTGGACAAGAGTGGACAACACACGATCAATCTTTCTTGACATCAGAGCAAACGCATGAAGCGAAGAATCTACCAACCCCTGAGTGGGTGCGTCATTTGTCAGGCCTTCCACAGAGGCTGAGAGAGCCAGCAATAAGTGAGACAATGAATTGCCAAGCCGGTCCAACTGTGACCCCGAGTCATAGTCTCTACAGAGCAGGTCATCCGTGACATGACACTGAGGACAAGGACACCTGGCATTAGTCCTCAGAACCTCGTCTGGAGCCACAATGAGGGACGCTACAGCCGGCTCGACTGAAGGCATATGGCCCAAGAAGAATCTAGGTGCGTCCTGCATGGCCGCCAAGGTCCTGCCATCCGAGGTCGGCCACGTAAGGGCTTTAGTATCAGCCCAGCAGGCATGCACTTCTTTCACATACTCCGCAGATGGGGGAACCATGAAAGAAGTCCTAGGAGTAGGGCATTGGAAGAAGGCACTGGAAGTAGTAGGCTGGCTCTGGAGGGCATCCAGGTGCAGCCGGGCAAGAGCCGTCCTCAAAGTACCCACTATGGAACCATCCTCCTCCGAATGGGACCCAGAGGTGGTGTGGGAGCTGGGATTTGATATACAGGAGCCCGAATCTAACTGTTCATGAAAATGGGTTGCAGATGCCGTTAAGGATATAGCATCCTCCTCCTCAAAAGCAGGGTTCCTTGAACCCAAACTCTCTTCTGGTACAGGGTCCGTAACTAGAGCAATGCCGTCGTCTCCCCTGAGGGCCTCAAGCAGTGTCTTTATACTCTCCAGCTCAGAGGTGAGATGGGCCACCTGCCCAGAGAGTCCTTCTGAGCCCTTGGAGCTCTTCCTGGATTTCTTCCTCAGGGGCCCCCCTTCCTTTGGGGCTGTACACTTTGCTGGCTTGCTTGTGCCCTCCAAACTAGCCAAGCAGGCAGTTCAAAAGGACAAGGACAACACAAAACAATTGGGGCAGGCCGCTCCAGTCAAGGCCTCCCTCAAATTATCTGGCCCCAAACAAGAGGGCCACAGATCGTGACGGCCTCCAACTGGAGAGGGACCAGACAAGCCCAACAGCATGGTGTGTCCAACATCTTATTGCTGTCAGAACTCAAAGTGTCAGGTTGAGAGGAAGCGCCACTCTTGACACCAATGTTGATGAGCAATTAGAACAGAAAATCCGGTCGAGAAGAAAAACGCCACTAAGGATTTCCATGAGCTCAACAAGTAAGGCAATGTTTGCTTAACAAAAAGAGGACGGACTAAACACAGCTAAATAACAACCAAGGCAAGCACGATACGGCTGCAATGTAGCAAAAATAAAGACAGCCAACAGGCTACATTAACTTAAAAAGTGCAAAGCTGAGCACAGCTGCACCAATAACAGCAAACTTGAAACTGTCTTAGTCAGCAAAGAAAAAGTCAGCACGAACACGGCTGCTCAATTGTGAACAAGCAGCTCGACACGGCTACTAATTAGCAAATAAAAGCAGCTCCACATGGCCGCTAATCAGCAAACAAAAGCAGCTCGAACACAGCTGCTAAATCGTAACAAAAGCAGCTCGAACACGGCTGTTAAATCGTGAACAAAAGCAGAGCCAAACACGGCTGCTAAATCATAAACAAAAGCAGCATGAACATGGCTGCTAAATTATAAACAAAGCAGCTCAAACACTACTGCTAATCATAAACAAAAATACAGCTCGACAAGGCTGCTAACTAGCAAACAAAAGCAGCTCGAACACGGCTGCTAATTAGCAAACAAAAGCAGCTCGACACAGCTACTAATTAGCAAACAAAAGAATATTAACCACAAGTCGAACGCGGCTGCACACACACATGCAGCTACACGTGGCTGCTTCAAACTTAATAGTTTGGTCATATTAACTAGTAAACATAAAAAACCCGTGTAGTTAGCGGACACGCTACCACTGTGGTAATAGAAATAAACTTTGACTTACCAGTCACAAAGTTTGTATTAAGTGATACAGCTTGCGCAGCCTCTGGAGGGCGAAAATTACGCAGCTCTGACCGAAGTCGCGAGGCTACCAGCATCAAGCAGAAACAATTTCAAGAGGGTCTTACCACCTGTTCAACCTGCATGTGAGAAGATGATTAGGGATTGAGCTACTGTGTCACGTGACTATATAGACTACCAGTGTTACCTGGGGTCACACGTGACTATGTTGGCATAAGATACTCGACCTGCGCATGCGCAAGGATGATCATTCAGTGCTTTAAGCACCACCTCTGGTGGTCAGTAGAGATGAAATAGAACTCTGTTTCCATACTTTATTCATAGCACTTTTCAAGACAACAAAAGAATAAAGTGAGAAAACTGAGAAAACAATAAAATAAAAACATACTGGAAAATGCATTTATTGAACGTTTGCTGCTAATACACATTTAAATAGAAAAGAAACATGACAAAACTTTCTGTAAGTAGTATTGTAGTTAATGTCATGATCAACTGGACATTTTATTTTCAATCCCGGGAGTTGTTTTTGGTCATTACATGTTTCTTGGTGTTCTTCTCTGGCTGAAATAATATGATGAAACACTTTGGAGCAAATATACACAGTATCAGTCCAAAACTGGAGGCCAGGATGGCAAATATCTCCACAGCCACAGTAAATTTTCCAGGAGAGCTGACATAAGCTGGGATGAAGGTGATCCACACTGCACAGAATATCAGCATGCTGAAGGTTATCAGCTTGGCTTCATTAAAATTATCAGGTAGTTTCCGAGCTAGAACAGCTAACACAAAGCAAAAAACAGCCAGCAGGCCAATGTAGCCGAGCACAGCCCAGAAGCCAACAGCAGAGCCTAATGCACATTCCAGGATGATCTTCTCCTTGTATGTGCTCAGGTTTTTTATTGGAAATGGAGGGCTGACAACCAACCAAACAGAACAAATTAAAATTTGAATAAATGTGAAGAACACTACAGTCATCCTTTGTTGTGGAGGCCCAAACCATTTCATGACATTACTACCTGGAAGTGTAGCTTTAAAGGCCATTAAAACCACAATAGTTTTGCCAAGAACACAGGAGATACAGAGAACAAAGGTGATACCAAACGCTGTGTGTCTCAGCATGCAGGACCAATCAGAGGGAGCTCCAATGAAAGTTAATGAACATAAGAAACACAGAGTCAGAGAGAAGAGCAACAAGAAGCTCAGCTCAGAGTTATTGGCTCTGACAATTGGAGTTGTTCTGTGATGAAAGAAAATAGCTGCTGTTATGATGGCCAGACAGGCTCCAATAATAGAAAATGCAGCCAGGATGATTGCCAGGACTTCATTGAAAGAAAGAAACTCTACAAGTTTGGGTAAACAAACATCTCCTTTTGCATTAGGCCAGAATTCATTCGGACATGGGAAGCAATCAGAAGAATCTACAAATAGAAAAAAAGTGTTACTATTCATATAAAAATAATAACAATCATAATAATAATAATAACAGTAATAATCATAATAATAATGCTTTTTGTCTTTTATGAAGCACATTTTTAAGGCACTTAAAGATGCTGTACATTATTCATTTACACACACATTCACTCACTTGATGGATAGCTACACTGGACAGCTATGAACCGCTGGGTTCATAGATTCATAGTACTAATCACTGGATATACTAAAATTTGCTTTATATGTCCCAGAAGGCAATTGCATTTCAGCACTAAGTTGTAAAAAAAACATACAGAATACAGAGAGGAAGACCTGTGCAATATAGCAGGGGACACACACAAAAACACATTTGTACATGTGTGCAATGTAAGCCTGTGAACCACGTCTTAGGTGACATTCTGCCATTGTCCAGATAGATGGAATACAGTTTATATTGAATAGTCATACATAGTGATATTGATCATTTAATGAATGCAACATGATTTTATGCTACCTGTTGTATTACTGATCTCTCCTTCAGAACATTGGACACAATCATAGCAGCAGATGGGTTTTCCTTTCTGCAATATTTTATGCATTCCTGGGGTACAACTGTCAGAGCACACCGATACTGGAACCTGGCGCATAAACAGAAACCAAATACAATTGATTATTTTTTTGCTAATTAACTGTGACTAGAGTTCAAACTCTTACTAGTTTAACTGTAATCATTTGGCCTATTACTTGTGTGCCACCATCAGCCCAAGATATGTTCTTGTTGATATGAAACTCCTGGCCTTTTGGCAGTGAAGCATCATAATATCCTATTGTTACCAGCTCAATAACTCCACTCTCACTCTTCTGCCAGTGACCAGCTCATAAAAAGCCACAGGATCCCCATTAATATCAAAAGACACTGGATAACCATTGCGGGAAAAGTTAACTTTTTGTAGAGCAGTAAAGACCTTTTAAAATGAAAAGAATAAAAATAAATTAAAAATGAAAAGGGAAAATGCATATCAAAATAACCTTTACCTACATTTGCATAATTCATAAAGCTAACAAAAATGGCAAAATATTATTTTTAAAACCTGTTTTGGCTCCAATTTGATATTTCTGTCACACTGAGTGATGAGATGTGTTTTATGACACACTATATTATGAAGGGCATGAGCTATTGCATAAACAGCCTTGTACACCATGTTCGATGCTCTCAACTGAGAAGTTTCAGTGTAGGGATTTTTGAGTGTTTTTATGTTTTCAGATCCATCACAAACTCTTCTGTCTGGATCAGCATCTACATGAAAACAGGCACAGATTATATCATCTCTCAAATACAAATAACATCAATATTTCTAACGTCATGTACCAAGATATTTACATGTTTACATAAACATCAGAGAGTTTAAGTGATTTTACTCTGAAGTGGAAACTTAAAGTGTCTTTGCAATTGAAAAAAATGCATATTTTCTATGTTGTATTTGGTTAGTTTAACAAATTTGTCTGTTTATTAAATCTTCTTACTTTTATTCAGACTGCAGCTAAATGCATCCTCCCAGAACTCAGTAAGCACTGAGGAGGCAGCTACTTCAGTGGGAGAGAGATCCAGCAGGAAGTCTCTCAGACCTGGGATGACAGATTTCTGAATGGTAACTCCAATGGCTCCTGCACAGAAACTGAAACTCATCAAGAGTGGATCAGTTATCCATCCCTCACTTCCTATCCACTGACGAGGTGGTGGAGGCTCCTGAGCCAGCTCTGCTAATAGGACCAACATGTCTCCTGCAGCCACAAAAGCCACAACAACCAGTGCTGTTGACCTGAAAATATAGTAGAATGTAAGTAAAACCTCTAAAATATTTTAATGTTTTTTAAAATGTTTTGAACCATTTATCAAATTTTCAGTATTACTTTTCCAATTTTAAGCAAATTAAACATAGATGTGGAATACACAAAAAATATGTAATGTAAACACCTGCGAACAACATCAGCTACTTTCTGAATTTTCCTGATTGGGTCGGTTCGAAAGAAAGATTCAGAGTATTCCACACAAATCCCCTCTCTTTGTGCTGCAGCAAGAAAAGATGCCATGCCATAATTTCCATAGTCTGAGTCTGAGTGAACAGCACCAATCCAAGTCCAGCCAAAGTGTTTCACCAGCTTGGCTAGAGCATCAGCCTGGAACTGATCACTGGGAACTGTTCTGAAAAATGTTGGGTACTGCTGCTTATCTGACAGGCAGGCACAGGTGGCAAAGTGGCTCACCTATAAAGTACAAAGCATAATTACATGGTTTTCTGGCATTAATCGGTGGTCTTTAACAACTGTAACAACCCAGATGTAGTTTTTCAGTTTGCACAAACTGCAGATCACTTACCTGAGGGATGTTAAATGGTCCAATGATGCGTGCCATGCTGAGGGATGAAGTAGATCCAGAGTCTCCAACAACAGCCATCACTTTCCCATTTTGGGAACAGTTGCTGTTTTTGTAAAACATATGGTCCTCACCATTTGATAACTGAAATGCCACATGGGCTGCCACAAGCCCAGAGGAACAAGTATCATAGATTTCATATCCAAGTTTGATGCCCGGCAGGAGCTCTGTGCTGTTGTTTATCTCCTTGATAGCAAAGATCATTGTTCGAGAGAAGCGCAGGTCCCGAGCATTAAAGCTGCACAGAATAAATAAAGGACATATTGTTGTTTAAATTATATATATATATATATATATATATATGTATGTATATATATATATATATATATTGTAGAAAGGCTTAATTCACCTTAAGCCTACCCCTACATAACTGGTGGCCCTATTAAATATTTTTCTCATGAAAAAATATCTTCTGTGCCCCGTGAGAAAAACACTGTTTTCCTCATGTTGGCAATAGATAAAGAGTGTTGCTATAAAACTTTTTATGGCTGATGTGTTCAGAGAATAGCGAAAGCTGCAGATTTTGTTGTTTTTCTGTCATTTTTAAGTTATAAATACATCTTTGGCATTATTAAATTGCTTTAAATAAGCTCTTCACGGCTTTTCAAGGTAATGACGTCATACCTAGATGAAGTTGCTTTTTCTCCCTCATTATAGCTAAAAGCTATATTTTCTAAATCTATTCTGCACGGTGGACGCCAGATTATGATTTATTTGCATGCATATTGTCTGTATGACATTTATTAAGGATCCTAAGAGCCAGTATTATTCACATCAGCAAGGTGTTAAAATAACTGGTTGGTTATATAGTGTTTCTACCCGTGTTCCTACGACACATTTTTTTACATAACCAAAACTCCGCTAACAGTTTAAAGAGTTTGGCCACTCACAAAGTGTTACACTAGTTCATTGTATATGAATTAACATGAGGAGTTAAGTAGCATCACACGGAGCTAACGAGAAATAGCTTCGAGCTACTTCCGGGACGTATAAACTCGAACGAGACGTCCAGATATTACGGCCAAGCACCGCCTTAGTCAGCCTGTGAGCAGACCGTAACCTGTACAAAAGCAGTCCTTAGCCACATTAGAGAACTCTGTGTGTGTTTGAGGCAAACTTTAGCAGGAGGGACTCCGAACTGCTAAGCAGACGGAGACACAAATGTAAACAGGAGCGCGCACCGCGTGCCCACGCGTTCACCTCGGCAGCTTAAAAAAGAAGCTGTTTTTATCTGCTGGCGTAGTCAGAAMCTAACGCTGGTTGATTTTTGAAACGCTGTGTTTTTAAACTCTAACTACTGTGAATTTTCATTCCATAAGCTGTTTCATTTATGCGTATTCGCAGCGCAAGACTGAGTTGCTCTATATAAAAACGGGCAGCCATTTTCTTCC